AGTCTCACAACTTCAAAATATAAAATTTGAATTTACTTACAACTTTCCTCGCCGTTTACTTAATGACCAGAGGTAAATCTTCCAGCGTACAAAAATTAATCGTCGACGAGATTGAATAATACTTTCCGTAAGATCATTGACTGTTTCTGGAGAAAACATTGTTGTGACAGTCCTTGCCAAACTTTCTTACGCGCTCTCTAATTGACAGGTGTCAGATTATGACAGATACATGTAAAAATAATGTTTCAAAGTTTGTTGGGAAGCCTTTTAAATCACCTTTATCATTACGCAAACGAAAATGTTTCGAAGATGCATCTCTCTTTAATTTGCGGCACCTCTATTTTAACTACCTTTTACTCGCTCAAAAATTGTTCAGTTTACGGAAGATCTAACCGTATTTACAACCCTAAATCATTCGGGTTCTTTCAGAAAGAATTTCGTTAAGTAAAAAAAATAATAAATATGTTATTTATTGTGACCTCTGTCTTGAAAATGCTGGACAAAGGTCACAGTTTTTTACCATACAGACCTCTCAGGCGGCAAATAACATATATTTCTTCGTTTAGAAAAATTTGAAAGCGAAAACCAATCTCTTTTCTTGCAAAAATAATAGAAAAATATATTACAAAGATATACAGTACGGCAGGTGTCAATGTATCACATCTTTAGCCTAGCTCCCAATCATCAGATGTTTTTTTGATTGATTGAGCACGTAGTTACGTTCCAATTCTTGCCAATTGTGATCAAGTCCGTCAATTCCACTGTACTTTTTTATTAAATCTGATCAATGGGAAACATTTTTGGGGTGATTTTCAACATTATCTCTAAATTTTGACCAAATATCGACCCCTGAAAAAAATATCGACCATTCAACATCATTAAATAGTTAAATGAAACGAGCAACTTTTTTATGGTGATACGACGTGTGATCTTGTATGTGTTTGTCTCTTCTTTCTTCTTTCTTGAGGACCACTTGATCAACTGTAGGAACTTCAGTAACCAGGCAAATGTGCGAAGAAGAGCGATCCAGCCAGAGAATTGGGTTAGAAGGCAGTTCAAAGAAGCTGTAGGGTTAACTGTGATCACATACACTTCCTTCTTTATCTCAAGCTTCTCTAATGCGATGTTCTCAAACTTGGGTTCTGGTCAGTGATCCTCGCTACTGTACAGGAAGGCCTTTCAGCCAGTGCTCGTCCTTAAGAAATTCATTCATTTTAAGGCCTCGACTGACATCATCAGCGGGGTTCAGTTTGCCAGGACAATGTCTCCACTGTTGTGGTGACGTGAGGTCCCTAATCTCTCCAACTCGATCAGCCACATAAGTTTGAAATAGCCTGTTCTCGTTGTGGCTATAGTCTAAAACGATCATGGAATCGGCCCAAAAAACCATTTGTTCAAACTCAAAGTTCAGTTCTCTTCTCACTGCAAGATCAACACGTGCTGCTAAAACAGCTCCCTGTAGCTCAAGACGGGGAATACTGACAGTTTTGATTGGGGCATTTCTCAACTTTCCAATAACGAATGCACATTCTACAGTTCAATCAGAGTAGACAATTCGGAAGTATGCGGCGGTACCATATCCAATTTTGGACGCTTCGCAGGAATGATGAAGCGGTAGAGTAGCTCCTTCATGGTTAGAGGGTTATGGTTAAAGGGACGTTCACCTTCGCCAGAAGAGGTAGGTAACTTTTCCACTGCAACCATCTTTGGGGGAGTTCTCCTTCGAGAGTTTGATCCCACGCCCTTTTCAACCTCCACAGTTCTTGCATGATTTGCTTCGCAGATAACATTACAGGCGCAGCGGGGTTCAGCGGGTCGAAGACCGAGCAGATTGTCGATACAACTCCTCTCATGGTGTTATTTTTTTTAGACTCTAAGACCTTGAAACCAAACGTGTCCGACTCTATGTGCCACCGTACCCAAGTGCTCTATCGACGGGCAATTCATCAAGATTAACATCCAGAGACGAGTCAGCTCTCTTTCCCAGAGGTATAGAAGCCCAAACCTTGCGGTTGTAGCTGACAAATTTCGTCAAGTTAAATTCACCCTTAGCACAAAGTTTAATCAAATTTTCCGTCAGCGCAATTGCACTTTCCGGTGTTGGTACTGATTTCAAGAGGTCATCAACACAGAAGATGTGTCTAAGAGTGTCTATCGTAACCGGATCAAAATTTCCTTCATTGTCATCAGCAGTTCTCAATAAGGCAGAGTTAGCTGAGCAAGGTGAGTCGGCTGCTCCGAATATGTGTACTGTCATCGCGTACTCTTGCGGTGTTTCGTCTATGCCTTCTCTCCACCACAGAAATCTTAGTAAATCTTGGTCTTCTGGGCGCACTTTCACCTGGTGGTGGAACATACTTTCAGTGTTCTCAACCAGAGCCACATTCTCCTCACGAAATCTCAACAAGACTCCAGGTAAATTGTTCGTGTAATCAGGCCCCTGTAATAGATTCTTATTCAAGGACGTTCCCCGATGTTCTGCGGCAGCATCAAAGACTATCCTAACTTTGTTGGGCTTCCTGTTGCTAGTGACTGCAAAGTGAGGAAGATACTACGATCTGGGACCAGATTTGGAAGCTTCTTCATCTGAAAGCTTGCGAGCATATCCCTTCGCTATGTAATCTTCCATCGTGGCACGGTATTTCTCTTCAAGACTAGGATCTCTATGGAATTTTCCTCTCAAACTCTGCAATCCTATTTCTGCATCCCTTCAGTTATTCGGTAGCTGAACATCGTCTCTTCTTCACAAGAGCCCTGTCTCAAAGTGATTTTCGTCGTTAAGTCTTGTTGTCATATTTAGAATGTTCACTACTCGTACATCCTCTGTGGACAGACCTTCAAAGTGCTCTTTGTTCCCAACCCTTCCACTTTCCAAAACTTCTCTACTTGGTCATTTAAATTCTTTTCACATGTGAAAAATTTTACTGAAATGTCCCTATGTTTCTGTGAGCCGTGAATCGTTCCAGTTATGCCCCAACCCAGTGGGCCACGCAGAGCTTGCAATTGGCTATCAGGATTATTTGAATTTCGAACTTCAAAAACTTCATGTGCGTCACTAACATCCTTTCCAATGAGTACTTCCACTTTTCTCAGCTTCACGTCAGGTACTTCAATGTCCGCTAGGTGTGGGTGAGACTTCTTGTCAATATCTTCTGGAAGGCACTTCTCTGCGATATTGAACTTCGCTGATACAGGGCCTTCTATCACAGTGATGACTTCTCCTTTTCCATTAGCGGATTGCAACCCGAATTCTACAACTTCAAACTCTTCATCTTCTTGTTGCAAGAGGGTGCTGACAGACACCACTTTCTGCCGACATTTCAGGCCTAGTTCATTAGCAACATAGGAACCGATCACGGCTCCACGTGAGCCATCGTCTAGCAATCCGTAAGTGGTGATGGACTTCCCATCGAACGATGAGATCTCCACTGATATCACATGGAGAAGTATGGTCTTCTCCTTGGTCGGCTCTATTGCGGTTGCGTACTGCACTGTACTCCTAAGTTCAGTAATGCTCGGATACTCACCATTCCTTGGGTTTGGCTGATTCTCTGCAGGTTGTTGTTCCCGTTCACGGGTTTGGCTGCCTCGGTCAGTGTCTCCAATGTCTCTTCTTAAGGGGTTGTGAAGAAACCTGTGGTATCGTTTATCATTTCTACATGGACAGAACGTTTGGGATTCACACATGTCTCTACGATGTCCTGGTCCCATACAAACGTGACACAACCTATGGAGTTTCACAACACCCCAGCGGGTTTGCAGATCTTTGTTTTGGAACTCGAGGCATGAGGCCAGTTCGTGCGAACCTGAGCAACACAAACAGCTCTGTACTCCGATTAAGGGCTTACTCCGTCCATCACCTGTTCCTGGCCTTCTGCCTGAGGCAGAGAAATCAGTTGCAAAGCTGAGGTCTACCTTGGATCCAGAGGAACTTTAGTTCTATTGGGTGTTTGTTTGCTTGTTTGCTCTTGTCTCCATGGTTGGCATGGCGAGTACACCTGCAAATCCTGGGTCATTCTTAGTTGCAGCCTGTCGTTTGAAAAACTTGGCAAGATCTTCCAGACCTGGTTTCTGTCCTTTTTCTCTAATGGAATACGATACGTCAGCCCACTTGTTGATCAAGTAGTTGGGCAGACGTCCGGTGATGAGCTTCATATTCGCAGTTGTGCTTGCTTCGCGTTCATAGTCCCTCTGTAATCTTTTGGTGGCACACTGGAGTTGTTCCGCAAAGTTACGTAGACCTTTAAAATCTATATTTCCCATTTTCGGTCCCACTGTCAGCTTTTCAATGCAGGCAGCCGCAACTGTAACTGGTTGACCATAGCGATCTTCTTAATTCGCAACAATATCTTCATATGAACACCCTGCAGATCTTGCTACAACATCATATGCATCACCTGTCACAAACTTCGGTAGAAATTCGATTTTCTGCGCATCAGATAATAGGCCATCTTCCAAGTCGTCTCGAATCCTTTTTCTAAAGACTGGAAAGTCTGCGGCACTTCCACTAAATTTTACTGGCTGCATCGCTTGAAGCCTGGTGACTCTCAACAAAACTGCCCGTGTTGAATTTGTGCCTGAGTGTAGAATAAATTGAGGGGCTTTGGAGTTCAGTGGCTTAGTCTACTGCTGACAGTTGGCATTCTAATTGGCTGTCTTGGCTCTTCTTGTTTGGCAATGAGGTTCAAGAGAGAATCTGGGTTAATCTTCATTTCTTACAACCGAGTTCTCTACATTAGATTCACTGTCATAATCCTCTAAAGCCAGCAAATCAACCTCCTTTTCTTCTAACTGAACTTTAAATCTTATTTCCTTAGCAATTTTTTGTTTTTGCATTTCGATATCAATTTTTTTTCTTCTCCATTTCTGCCTCATACTGTGCTATCTCTGATGCCTGTTTTCTCTTCAGTTCCTTTAGTTATGAAGATCTCAAAGATCTGGACGACTTTGACTTAGTTGAAGTTATCGGTGACAATTTTGGTTCCCCATTGGAGGATTTTAAACTATTCTTTGAAGAATGAGGTGAACTTGGCCGTAAATAATCGTCAACTGTCTTTTCACATCGAGAGTAATCGTCATAAATTTTATTCTAACGCTGTTCGACGCGCTCAAATTCTTCAACAGACAAGTTCTTGAGAATATAACACTGATACACGTCACTATAACGGTCCATGGATGCTCAAGGTTCCTCACAGCTTCACGAACTTCCTCATATTCTCGTGCCTCGGCAATACTGGTTTTAAATTGATTTATGACTGTACTTACTCGAGCTAAATAGCCTCCAAGTGAGCGCCTTGCCTGATACATTTCTTCCGCTGCAACATCTTCCCGGTCTGTCATATTAACCCTTCTCGTTCGCACAGGATCCGAACTTCTCTCTCTAGGGATCCAATTCTACATCGTCAATCTCACCACCATGTACATTAATCTTTTTTTAACACCGAGTCACACAACATGTGACGCGTTCATGAATTAATCGTTGGCTTTTTCTCGAGACGTGAGCTTGGGCCGCCTGCGGTTCGAGTGGAATTGGTTTGTGATTGGTTTATGAGGAATTATCGATCGATTTTGGCAGAACGATTTTGCTCCAAAATCGACAGATAGCGTGCAAAAAAGTTTGCGAGCTCTTCTTGAGCCCGCAATAAAAATGACATTCCCAAAGCAGTAGTCAGAATTGTATTGCTTAAGTTTATTATCTTTTGGTAGTCTGTGAGCCGCCGTAATTGTCAACATCATAAAAAGGAAACACGTTGAGTAAACCAAAAGCTGACGAGCCCTTCCACTCTAAAGAACAAGGTTCCTCTAAAAAGAAGAAGGAAGGTCAAGTTCACCTGTTTTCTGTTCAAAATATTGAAGAATTTTTGTCAAATGACAGTTTAGCAGAGGTCATTTCTTCTGGCTAAAGGACCAGTAATCGATT